TGTATTAAAGTACGCTAAGAAACCATCTGAAACGTAGCACATTATCAATACTTTTTTGTGCGTAATTACAAATAACAACAGATGACATATGAGTGATAAGGGGAAAAGACGAGATGAGAAAATGGTGATACATGGAAACCAGAGAGGAAGCGCGTACGAGGTAGAACCTATATAGTGTAAGGCACTGGTGGTTCCAGGAGGAGGAAGGAGTCTTTCGCCCCCTCCCCGAAGAGATCAAGAGTAGTTGTTTACTGTAGAAAACTCTGTTCCATACCTTCTCTCGTCCGTCCCTCCCCCTTCCTCCGCGGTCGCTGCCGCAGTTTAGGCTCGACTAGCAATGGGAGAGCGGGAAAAGGGGGTAGCAAAGCGACGATATGGGAAGAGAAGGTAGCAGGGTGACCGAGAGGAAGGGAGATGGGGCTTCCGATGTGGTGACGAATAGGGGAGCGGAAGAAAAACCGCCCTCCGGCAGACCATCCTGGATCCGCCTATGATGTTAATTAGAAGTACTATACAGAGGTGTCCAAAAATTGTGCACAAATAGGAGACAGCTTTATAAAAACAAGAACATCTCCCTCATTACATGATGTTTAAACTACAGAATTTAACACATCGTTAAATTTTATAGCGCTGACTTTTATAAGAAAACTTCCTGACCTGGACTGATTGAACGCGCACGTCGTCCACGTACTTCTTCGAGTTCTGGCATAAGTTGAATTTTCTTCAACGAATCTTTCGCAACATCACGCTCCTCATTCGCCTTTTTCACCAGACTTTCCATCAGTGTCATTCGACGATTCGAATCACTCAGTTCGTGTTCTAGCTGCAACAGAAGAGGAATAAAATCCGCCAAAAAATGATTCCCAAATTAAAAAATGTAATTGAACCAAAACCGGTTGCTCAGGAAGAAAAATCAACGGAAACCCAAACAGCCTTTAAACGGCAGATGCTAGGTGTCAGCAAGTTGCAGCACATCTCCAATGAACAGGAACAAAGCCATGGTCAAGACCAATCCCAGTACAAACAATCAGCATACAGAACGAGCCATCCAACAACGATATAACACAGCGCATTAATACTACAGCGTGGTTAGGCCTCAAGCTAAAGATCACAGGGCCGAATCGACGCATACCTATATCTACTCGTACAACATAATGGTGTACTTTAACTGCTACAGGGTCTAAGATCTCGGAATGAACAGTATTACCCTCCCCCCCCTTCCAAATCTAGATCCTGTTACAGAAAATCATCATTTCCAATCAAACCTTAATACATCGCACTGCAACATCTTCATATTTTCCTAACAATTCGTCCATTGTTTCGTCGTCTCTCGAGTCCTCCAATGCCACACTCTTTCGCTGAACGACAAAGTGTAAAAACAGGAAAAGCAAACAAAATTAATAAAGAAATCCAAAAAAAGCCACATCTGGGTGGATTAGCAAAAAATCTAACTCAATTATCAACCGAGGCAGAAGCGAGTGTTTTTCCAAAAAAACAAAAATACCTTCAGGTCAGCTTGACGAACAACTGCTTCCATGTTATTTGCACAGCGTACGAATT